TCTAGTTATTAGTAGTGCAATGGTGAAAAGACATATGAAAACGGATGTCGAATGAATAAGTTATGAATTTATGACGGAGTTTTTCTATCTCGGCCGTCGAAATCAGTCGATGGAGGTTAAACAAAAGTTGTAGAGCTTAGTTTCACCTGCGCGTGGATATAAATAACGTCGAAAACGAAGTTCGTATGAGGAAGATATGAATTTTTGAAGTTTTTAAATAATTAAAATATATTTATTTAATTATAAACTCGGATAAAACCAAACTCGTGACTCATCCGACCTTATCCACCCGATACGCCCAACGTACCTAGATGTACGCCCAACGTACATGTCGAAGAGCATTACACCCAACGTCAATCGAGGTTTCAGCCCCTATAAATAGAAGTCGATGGCAACCGAGTTTCTTTGCTCATTTCTTCCTTTCTCTCTCATTTTTTCATCGTTTTGCATGCAAGAAATATCCCGAAGCCCCGGTATCATCCCCAAGACCCGAAGTAAGTCCCGAAGATCCTGAGAAGAAAGATTCTGAGTCGAAGCTCTGCCCGTATGAAGTCCGGTTTTGGAGGAAAACATCTCGGTTTCGTCGCAAAAGATTATTTTAAGAGACGAGGCGCTGTCCGATCATCGTCTTATCAAGTGAGTGTACAATCACTTTCTTCTAACACATAAATATTAAGTATTTGCTATGAAATACGTGTTATGTGTGTATATATTGTTGTTTATTTGAGATGATTATGGAATGGATGAATTATATAGGTTTTAATGAGTAAAACCGTATATGTATTTTGTATTTACAAATATGTTGGGTAGAACATGGGTAGATAAGATTGTTGATATGTGATAAAAGATGAGTTGGATCATGAGATAAAAGGGGTAAAGATATAAACTTGTTATAGATCCGGGAGTATGGGTCAGATCAAGAGCCTAGTTTTAGATCCGAGATTATGGATTAGGTAATGAGACAAATTTAAGATCCGGGAGTACGGATAATGCATTGTTGAACTATGTGTTCATTTGATAAGGTAGCATGTGTATAGTCCCTTTTAGGAACGTGATTTTAATACGAGTATTGATTAAAGTATGAAAGATATATATATATATATATATATATATATATATATATATATATATATATATATATATATATATATATATATATATATAGGTGAATTATTTGTTATTGCTCAAAACGTATGTTAAATATATAATTGATGATATACAACGTACGAACCAGTTATGGTTCAATGTGTGTTAAGATGTGTATATATGATATTATTACTTAAAAACTTTGTGTTAAGTATACTCATAGTTAGCGTTTCCAAACGGAGGTAGTATCGAAATTTGATTATAGGTATCGTAGGCTTGCCTAGTGATGGGTTAAGACTTAAATAGGGATGTTTAGTTCCATTAAGTTTGGACATTGGGTAGCCTCTTATTAAGAGTACATGTGTTGTGAGATTGATGATCGATGGAGTACGTCCTACGTACAGAAGTACATTTTATGTAAGAAGTCCTTTTCAAAGCTTTGTGTCTTGGGTGCTGCTTGTGCCAGGGTACTATTATGTTCTCGTGTACGAGTATTTCGCCTACCAGAGTACTATAATGTGCCAGAAGTACTATAATGTGGTAGAAGTACTATCATGTACAAAGTCTTTTTGAAAATTTTGTGTGTCGATTACGAGAGTACTCTAGTAGTATTTCCCCATACTTATATTTTGAGAGAGCTTTGGAGTCAGTTTTTCTTTTATGAAGTGATCAACCGAGCTTCATATGTCAATGTTTTCTTTCACGAAGTAATTAAGGGAACTTTGTAGATTGCCTAATAAAGTGTGTCGGTAATAGACCACTGCTAGGTATGTCTGGTGTTATATTGTTGGATAGGGTGCGTCCGGGGGTGAAATACCTCATGATATTCAGGCCACTGCTAGGCAAAGTTCGATGCTGGGATAGGTAGAGTCTAGGGGTATAACACCTCATGATAGTTGGATCACGCCTAGGCATTGTTATCTATATAACTACCCCTGAGTTAAAATGTCTTATGGTTCTTTCTTTTACAAACAAAGGTTCGTGGTGAAACTTATTCCATTCCCCTCATTTGATGTCTTTATTGATCCTCGTTTGCTGCCAGCGAATTTCCGAAGCAGCTTCATCAGTTTGTGGTTCATATCGATTCCTTAGGCTAGATCTCGTACGATCATTGTATAGGGTCAGTATGTGGGGATCGAATGGATGAGATATATTGTTTTAGAAATATGATTTATATGTGTTTATAATATTAGTGGTTTTGTAGGATCGAGATATACTTTATTATCACATTGTTTGAACTAAGAGCTTCCGTACTCTGTGTTCCTTAGGTGATTGGGTTCACCGGGGATATTCGAACTAAGTGTTCATTAGATATTTGAACTTAGTGTTCACCAGGGATATTTGAACTAAGTGTTTATTAAGTGTTTGTGAACTAGGTGTTCATTGGGTAATATTGGAACTAAGTGTTCATTAGGTGTTCTTGAACTAGTTGTTCATTAATTATTGTGAACTCCGTGTTCACCAGAGGTAATCTAAGAACCTTGGCAGCACTAGACTTTGTTCCAGTTCCTTAGGGAAATCCTTATGAATGAATGGGAGAATGGTAATCGGTTCTTAGGATAAATCTTTAAGAAATAAATAGAGATAATGGGGGTGGGTAATTGGATTGATTGTTTGATAATTGAATATAATAATTCTATTATTGTGGGTTAAAAACCCTATATGCTCACTAGGATCCCAAGCCTGACCCTCTTAGTTTTCTTTGTGTTACAGGTTATGGTACGAGAGCATAAGTTGGCTAATATAATGAGAGATTTTGGATTATAGGCCAGTAGTTATAAATAACCGTTGTGAGGTCTATTTTAGTTATGTTTTATGCTTTTGGTCTGTATTAGCCCTGTCGAAAATACCCGTTACCCGAATTACCCGCTCGATTTTTTCGGGTATCGGGTTAATTTTTTCAGGTAATTGGGTAACCCGATTTTTTTTCAGGTCGAGTAAAGGGTAAGTGTATTGGGTTTCGGGTATACCCGAATTACCCGAAATATATATATAACGTCTCAAATTCCCAAATCACAGCCCAATTTAATTTACCTCGTTCTTTTTCTCTACATCAAAAAAACCCTTTCTGCCTCTTCGTTCGTCACCGTCGAATCGTCGATCAACCTCAGGTTTTCGTCGCCACCTCCTCGCCGGTCTTCAGGTGGTCATCGGCTCGGTGCCGCCTCGCCGGTCATCAAGTTTTCGTTGGCTCGTCGCCTGGTGACTTCAGCTCGTCACCAGTCCAAGAAAAAAATCACGGATTTGAACTTCAAACTCAAATGTAAGTAATAACAACCAATTGATTCTCTTTTTGACATAGAAAATTAGCAAACTAGTGCAACTTTGAATGGGGTTCTTGTCGATTTAAAGAAAATTAGCAAACTAGTTTTAGCTTTCATTCGGTTATATTAGATTTCCAAATCTGATGATACTCTTTTGAACTTTGCGTTGCGTTGGGTGATGAAAAAGGTTTAAATTTATTTTGTGGACATATTGATAAGTTAGAAGAAACCGATAAGTTAGAAGAAACCTCTTCCATTTGTGTCTCTATGGAAAACATATGCTGTGGAAAGCCACATTTGTTATGTCTTTATTGTGAGATCTGAACACATTTGGAAAATTCATATGTTAATGTTAGATTATCACCTGCATAAAAACAATAATATGTTAATGTGGAAAGAATTAGAAACATACCACCAGGATTATCACCATCTTTACTTCCCACAATAACATTATCATCTGTATAAAAACAATAATATAGTTTTCATTAAAAATTATTGATATAGAACAATAAACAAGGGATAAAATTAGAAACATACCACCAGGATGAATGGAGATAGAAGAGATTTCATGAACTCCAGCTTCAAGCTTTTTGATGAACTTCTTGACAACATTATTTTTTATATAGTATTATGTCTAGATACATAATAATATATAAAATGATCTTGTTTTGGTTAATAAACTATGTAAATATTGAGAAATAAAGTTTGTGCACTAGTTAGGCTCTTATGTCATTCATGCATGAACTATTGGATGCTTAATGCATGAACTATTGTAGAAAAGAAAACAATTTTTTGAGTTGCATGTAGAAGAAAAATTGTCGTTAATTTAGAAAAAAAAAAATAATGAAATATTTAACAAGTAATTATTAGGGTATTTTTGTTGTTTTTTTATGTTTTATTTCCTGTTTTTTTCCTGTTTTTTTTTTGTTGTTGTTTTTTATGTTTTTTTTCCTATTTTTTTTTAATGTTTCTTAACAGTTTTTCTGTTTTTTTTTCTTATTTTAGATGTCAAAAACGGATGACTATATTGAAGTGGAAGACGATACGATTGAAGTTGACAACCCAACAAATGATCAAGTTCCACAAGAAAAAAGAGAAAAAAACTAAAGAATTCAACCCAAGATCGAAATTTTGGAATGAATTTGAAAGGTATAAGGATGAAAATGGTGTTCAAAGATGCAAATGTAAGCATTGTGGTGGTGGGAATTATAAGTGTGAATCGGGTAGTTATGGGACCAAAAATCTAGGTTATCATTTAAATAAATGTAAAGTTTACTTGGCTACACTTAATGGTGGGCAAAAACAACTAACTTTCCAATATGGTGATGAAAACAAATTGTCGGGTTGGAAATTTGATCAAAAGGAGAGTCGGAAAGCTCTAGCCCACATGTTGGTAGTTGACGAACTTCCTTTTAGCTTTGTAGAAGGTGCGGGTTTTAGGTATTACAATAGTGTTAATCAACCATTGTTTAAAGTTCCATGTAGAAGTACAAGCACAACGGATGTCTACCAATTGTTTGTAGAGGAAAAAGAAAAAATCCGTGACTTTATTAAAAAAAATGTTGGTAGAATATGTTTGACCACCGATACGTGGACTTCTAAACAACAATCATGTTATATGTGTCTCACCGCTCACTTTATTGATAACGAATGGAAATTAAAAAAAAAGTGTTGAGTTTTTCTTCTCAAGAGAGTCATCGTGGGGTTGATATTGGGAAAATGGTTGAGAAATGTTTAACGGAATGGGAAATAGAAAACGTTTTCACAATTTCTGTTGACAATGCAAGTGCGAATGATGTGGCAATTGACTTCTTGAAAAAAAGTTTTCAAAACTCCAACAAGTGTCTTCTAAATGGGAAATGGATGCACATTCGATGTATTGCCCACATTTTAAATTTAGTGGTGCAAGATGGCATAAAAAAAGTTGATAAGGCGGTGGAGATAGTTCGATGGGCGGTTAAATGGATTAGGCAATCGCCTTCTAGAATTCATAAGTTTATCGAGTTTGCTAAGGTTGCTAATCCCGGTATAACAAAACACTTGAAGAGAGATGTGCCAACAAGATGGAACTCTACTTACCATATGTTGGAAATTGCCCAAGCTTACGAAAAAACTTTTGAGAGATATGATCTTGAAGAATTTGATTTTCGGTACGAAATTGAAAATGCGGGTTTGTCGATACCTTCATCAAGCGATTGGGAAAGGGTTAGGAATGTATGTCATTTTTTAAAACCTTTTCATGATGTTACTTTGAGGATTTCCGGGACACTTTATGTGACATCAAACACATGCATTGAAGATATATATTCCATTCGTACGCTCTTGGATGATGCTATTTTCGATTCTAGTCTTTGTGATATTGCATTGGCCATGAAAGTAAAGTTTGATAAGTATTTTGGCGACATAGAAAAAATGAATTTATTGCTCTACTTTGCTTTGATTCTTGATCCGAGGAACAAAGTAAAGTATTTGGTTATACTACTTGAGGATCGTTATGGAGAAAAGGGGGTGGAGGCCAAAAAGAAATATATCATGGATTCTATGTATGAATTATATAATGATTATATTAGAATTCATTCTCCAAGTTCTACTTCAAGTACTGCCGAGTCTACCACTTCATCATCGATACTAGGGAAACGCCAAAACTCGGATTTGATGGCACCTAATCCCCCATTAAGAAATAAACTAAGAGAAAAAATGAAGACGAACATAGTTGAATCAATTGGGGAGTTAGAAAAGTATTTGCAAGAAAGTGTTGAAGACGACTCAGAAATGTTTAGTATTCTAGATTGGTGGAAAGTGAATAGTCCAAGATTCTCGGTTCTATCATTGATGGCTAGAGATGTGTTTGCCATTCCCGTCTCAACCGTGGCTTCGGAATCCGTTTTTAGCACTAGTAGGAGGGTGTTGGATCCGTTTAGGAGTTCTTTGACTCCTAAGATTGTTGAAAGTTTAATTTGTACACAAGACTGGATTCGGGGTAGCATAAGTGACACAATTGATTATGAAAAAGATTGGGAAGAAAATCAACAAATTGACAAAGGTAATTGTTTATCGTTCATTATTTTAATTATTGTAAATTTAATATATTTTCCTTTTAATAATAACGTTATTTGACTTTTTTATATAGAATTGAGCAAGATGAAGTAGTGAATGTGCAAGAAGAACGTGTAGGTGCAAGAAGACGAGTATATTTATGAATGTCTTTTGGAACTTGAATGTTATTTTTTTCGTAATATGTAATGGATTTCTATGTTTTCTAGATTGACGACATGAGTTTTTTTGGTAAATGCAAAATATATGCATATACATTGATATCAAGTAATTTAAATGATTGACTTTGGTTGTTATTATTTCTTTTAAGTATTTGTTTTTAACATCTTATTAGATTTGATTAAATCGTTAAACGAATACTTGATATCTCAAATATTATTGAGTAAAAAATCTCAATGTTCAAAATTTGAGCACGAAATACTTATTTCATTAAATTTATTTTTAGGTCCCATTTAAAAAAAAAAAAAAAAAAAAAATCGGGTAATACCCGAATTACCCTTACCCGACCCACTACCCGAATTACCCGAATTTAGTTTGGGTAGGGTAACGGGTAAATTTTTTAACATGAATTACCCGAATTACCCGACCTGGAATTACCCGAAACCCGAAAATTTTACGCGATTGACACCGCTAGTCTGTATTGAACATGACATCCCGAGATTTTGTTACATATCGAAAATACATTTCTTTAAAGCAATGCTTTGATAAATTCTTATCATATTTTGTTTTGGGAACAAATTCCGCAACTGTTTTCTTTAAAAGATTACTCTGATTTTAAAAACAAAGCATAATTAAATTGGTCTTTTTTGACCGTGAAATTAGGGATGTCACACATGTAGACTCATAACACGACATCGATATCATCATTATCCTAAACAATGCATATAAGCACGCCGGCAACAAGCAAGATCATACTAGTTTAGTTAAGCATACAATCATATCATAGTATTCCACAAGCATCCTACATATAGTGGATCATGTTGAATAAGGTGTCTAAGTCAGTAACTAAATTGATATTTTATTGTAATTAGAAGCATAGTCCTTTTGAGTTTCCCTTATAACTAGAACTTGATTAGAATGGTATGTGTAGATAAATGATGATTTATTAGATTATTATATGATTAATAAATTAATTGAAAATTACGAGGAAATAATATATTAATATATTATGTGATTAATATATTAATTGGAAATATACAACTGGTTTATTAATTTATTATGTGATTAATAAATTAATATGAGATTAATTGTTAATAATTGATTTGTTAATTTATATGAATAATAGATTAATAAGAAATCAATTAGAATTGATTCATTATTAATCATAATTAGTATGGAATTAATTTGAATTAATTAAAAGTGCAATGTGTAGGTTGTAATTGTTTAATAGTTGAACAAAATAGGCGATTCTATAAGCATCATGCCATAGACGGTTTTATGGAGTTCCTTAGGGTTTCCAGAAGCCTCATAGATGATAATAAGGAAAGTATTTGAATTGGAACTAAATCCATTATTTAATTATTTAAATTTTGTTTTTTTCATAAGTTATCTAAACTATAAATATGAAAAATTGGCCATAAAATTTTGTGGTCTCTCACTACAAGGATTATATGAACGGATTTTATACTCTACTTAAGTTTCTCCTAGTTCTAGGGTTTAGGTGTGAGCCATTAGAGACATCATCCTTTTGGTGTTAAGCTTTCCAAGTCCTACACTACAAGGTGATTGAAGTGATTTGTTTACTACAAAAAATCAAAGGTATGTAAGTCTAATCCCATGAATTTGATTATATTGGGGTTATGTTAGGTTTACTTGTTCATCATATGTTGCTATCAAGGTGTATGACATAGATCTTTTATAGGATACATGAATTCTATTGATTGTTAATCGTTTTCCGCATTGTACAATTTTGGTTCCTATAAAACTCATCAGTGGTATAAGAGCTTAGGTTTGTCAAACATTGATTACACATGTGATGAATTGAACAAAACAATTTTCGAGAAAACTATTGATCTCACGATGAGACAAAGCTTCTGTCACAACGTGAGATGCATTTTTTTCCAGAATTTCGGATGTTATCTGCCTAATTTCATTTATGATATTATTTTTTGTAATAATCTATTATTAATTTTGTTAGATTCCGAATTTTGAGTGACTTACGTGATAATCTATAAAACCCTAAATATTAGGAGATATCCTTATTTGATAATTTTTAGTTAGTTATATTAAATTGAATTATCCCTTATGAATTTAGTAATTAATTTAATTGTAATATAATTAAAAGATAATTAAATTCATTACATGTTTAAATTGATTAATTAATTACATAATAATTTAGATAATTAATACTTAAGCCTCATATTTTGAAAATATTTAAAATACACCTTATACAATATATGATTAGAAGTTTATATATATATATATATATATATATATATATATATATATATATATATATATATATATATATATGACAAGTTAGCCAAATCAATAGTAGACCTCATTCACGAAGCCATCCTCTAAGGGGATATAAGGAAGCAACCTACAAAATGATGTCATTGGGTGTCCACTCTCATCCATCGCTCCCTTGTATGGTGGAGGGTTGTTAGCCGAACGGGTTTGGTAAGACATAACCTCTAAAAGTATGATACTATAAAGTAACTAAACCTTTTTATAAATCTCACTCTAGTTACTTTAGGGAAAATGTGAAATTAAATGCTAATACATGAAAATGCACATCACTCTTTATATGTCATTAATGGAGTGTATATGGCTAACCGACACATTAATTTAGGAATATAAAGACAAGGTGAAGGAAAATCGAAAATTGTCATTAGTGATGGAGCGTGTGTGGTTAACCGACACATCAATTCGAGATAATAAATGACCTCGAGGTTGTCAAGTAGATTTGCATAGTTATTCAAATCTTAATTATGATCGTCTGTATTCCAATCACAATTGGTAAGAGAATAATAGAGATTAAATATGACATTGATAAGATTCAATAATTCTCAAAGATCTAGGAGTTTCATGTGATTGAAATTGGTGAGATGACTCTACCTACCTAAAATAGCTTCAAATTTGATTACGACATCCATCATCAAAGGTGGAATAAAAAAATATTGATCATAGCCTTAATTTAAATTATGGGTTAATAATTAATGATTAAAATCAACTAACTTGAATTCTCTCTTCTCCCAAAACTTAGATGTCAAATTAATACAATGATGGTCTTCTTCGTTCTTTTGGAAATGTTTTTTCCTCATTCTTCAAAAGATGGTCTTCCACATTCAAGTTAAGGTGAAAACGTTTTCCCTTCCTTAGGAAATGGTGGAACTGGACATCGTCTCTATTCAACTCTTACACCACCACCTCCTCCGTTTCCTCCTCCAGTGACTCCCCTAACGTCACGTTTTCCTTAAGTTGAAAGATATGAAACCACTCAAGCCTTATTGGCATGTAAGAACAAAGATGGAAATTTTATGTGTCCATACGTTCTGAAAATGAAGTTGTACTTTGAAAAATTATAAAGAATGAGTATCGTATTCCCAACAGAGCAAGCCATTGATTTGGTAATTCGTTCGCTTCCTAGGCCATATGGTTAGTTCGTAGAGAACTTTCATTTGAGGAATCTTGATGTAACCCTAATTGATTTGACTGAGATGTTGATAGTTACTGAAGCAAAAATGTTTAAGAACACATATGAAGCATAGTTTCTTAACGGGTCTAATTCCAAGAATTCCATGGACATTAATGAAGACAATGTTGATAATCCATAATAGATTTCTTTTCCCAATCTAAAGGGATCAACCAAGATCAAACCGTTTGATCGTATGGTAAAGAGAAAAGCTCATTTTTGAGATTGTTTCTAATAAGTCCATTTGTTTCTACTGCCAACTGAAGGGACATTGGAAGCAAAGCGGTCCACATTAACTGAAAGATCTCAGAGATGATAAAGTCAAGTCGTGTGACTTTACTTTAGGTACATCCATTATCTAATTCCATAAGTTCTGATTCTTAGAATCTTAATACATGATGTGATTATCACATTTTGATGATCTTGCAGGATCTAAAAGAAAGAATGAAACTTAAACAAGTGAGCCAAATCTGATCATGAAAGATGGACTTTGGTTGCATGGCTCGATGGTCAAAATTTGGAGCTACCACTAGGGAGTTAGGATAATTTAATAGATTGCCATTACTCTTTGGAGATGTTTAGAAATATAGTTTTGAGTGAATTACTGAAATCATCCCTATGGTTTTGTTAAAATTGCACGTTTGGTCCCTAACTTTTCATTTGCACTCGGATTATGCCTATGGTTTGATGTTGTTGCGTTTTCTGTCCTTTACATACATAAAGTTAGGGACCAAACGTGCAATTATCACCAAACCACATGGGCAAAAAATGCAACAAAATCAAACCATAGGGACGGTCCGAGTGCAAAATAAAAGTTAAGGACCAAATGTGTAATTTTAACCAAACCATAGGGACGATTTCAGTAATTTACTCTATAGTTTTTCATTTCATGCACTGTAAGGAGAAGTCTTAATTTTCATTTTATTTTAATAAAAGTGAAGTTTTGGTCTACGTGGTCGCCTTGTCTTATTCCTTGTAATAGCATTAATGAAAGTGTTAATTATGTTTCTAATAATAGCAATATTACTTGTGGATTCGATTCTTATGATATCGCTTGTGGTATGTCATAACTAACCAAGTGAAAATAAATCTCATCACCAATTGGACAGATATTTGGTGTTATACAAGTCATGTTTTATAATAAAGAAAACGGAAGTTGGATTGTTGCATAAAATGTGAGGGGAGGAGAATGGCAAATCACTCACCTGGACAGGGTTTACAGGTGATCAAGAAGGTCCATGGTCTAGGTTAGTGATCTCCATTGCACATTACAGAGAGGTGCCGGTCTAAGGCAAACACAAGTTGGTCGAACCTAAACTCTATCATTATTCACTAAACACACACAATCATGGATAATTGGTTATCAAAATTGCATATTCATGTGACATCCCCATTTTCACGGCCAAAAAAGACCGAATTTGTTTATGCTTTTTAAAAATCAGAGTTTTTCATTAAATAAAAATGTTACGGAATTTGTTCCCAGAAAAACACGATAAATACGTTATTAAAACATTTTCGAAGAAAATGTATTTTATTCATT